AACGCAATATATTCGCGTCATTTTTTCCATTGTCTACAGTTCATACGTTATTTATTATAAAGGATGACGTATCATTTAGAAAAGTACTGAATATATATTAATGATTCCTGTGTTCTTCGGTATAATTTTAGTATAATAGAGTTGTAGTGTAAATTTAAATAATCTTTTGGGAAAAAATGTCGAGGCATTGCCATAGTAGTTAGTTAATATTCATTGAAATAGCGCTTGAAATATATCAGAATTTGTTTTAGCAGTTGTAAAAGCGTTCATGAACACAAGTAAAAATTCTGGTATCAATAAAAAAAACAGCTAATCATTTTTAACCAATGCAATGGTTGAATATACAATAAATTTAATTTTTTCAAAAACTTTACAAAGTGTCTGAAAATAAATGATGGCAGAGTTTTAAGTGTGCATAAAAATTCACATCGCATCGTTTGGCTTCGCTTATCGTCCGAGCGTTTAAGTTGCTTCTGTAATCTGTTTTTGCTCATTGAACTTTCAATTCCTTCTTGTGTATTCTAGTTTCGCTCTGAATTATATGGGCGAGTAGTTTTTCTTTTTAAACTCGCGAACTTTGCTCTCTGTATTCTTTTTAAAACCTTGAAGTTTTTCTTTATCTGCAAGTTTCTATAAAGGAAGCGAAATCAAATGGGAGGGGAAAAATTCACATTATTTCAAGAAGCGCTTAAGTTAGACATAGTGAGCTATGGTTTCAATGCATTTTCTAAAAGAGTTTCAAGAAAAATCTATTTTGATATATACCAGAAAAAATATTATTAGAACGATGTTCTCCTGACATGAGATGCAAATTACAATGTGTATAGCGTGAAATACTTTGACACGTCCTTAAAAGTTCGTTCTATCGATGAAAATTGATCAAACGAATCTGTCCAACAGCTACCTGCACGCTTTCACGGGTGATAAGGCATTCCTGAACCTTGACCAAGATGAGATTTGCAACACGAGCGTGCAAGACCGAATCAATTTGGTAATTTCATTTTACGTATGACTCGATAGGAACAATTGGTTGTTAAAACGTTTGACGCGTATGCAAAGTTCAATAGTGACGTAAACTTGACGTAACATATCGAATTTGGAGTTACTATAAATTGAATAAACATAAGGAATGTCATACAAAATTAAGTGAACAGATATCAGATCTATATAAGGTTTGCAAATAAAATATTCAGTTATTTTTGTGTTATTTTATAATAATAATAAGTTAAATATAATAATCCATAGTCCCTACCATTATCCGGAGGCCATGTTTGGGCAATTCCCTATAGGTTACTCAGAGATGAATCTGATGAATGAACATTAAACAAACTTGAATTTCTTTAGGGGGTGTTCGTGTTGGAACCTTTGTCCCCACGCAAGTCTTCCAAAGGACCGGGTTCCTTCGAGCCTATGAATTCCAAGGAGATCTAAATCTACATAAATAAAAATGAATGTTGGTAAGCGCATAACTCAAGAATGGCTGGACCAATTCGGCAAAAAAAAATTCCTTATATGTATGTTCCTTAAGGAACACGGAAGGTTTTAATAAAGAGAACAAATGAAAAATTAACGAAAAAAAAATTAATTTTATTATGGCTAACGCTGGCTAATAACTGTTTATATCTATTTAAAACGTACCTAGCGACAAACCCGAGCGTAGCGAGGGTGAGCCGCTAGTACTACTAATAATAATAATGGCAGATCAGCCCTTTAAATACTATTAAGTCCTATTGCTAAATTACTTAAGGTACTAGAAACGGGATTTGAACCTGTTTATCCTATTTCCAAAGCAAGCATCCCGAAAGATATAACAACTATCCTAACCCTGCAACAGCACAAACCTGAAAGTACGTGATAATAAAAGAATACAACTAACTTCATGAAATGCTGTTCATAGATACCCTAAGTTTATGGGGCACTAAATTTATAATTCTGGACCTGCTGCTGTTTTATGCGTTTACCCCTTTGTTGGAGTTAATTAAACGTTTTTACTTGTACACCCTGTCATTTGCTGGTTTATTACAATCCTTATTATACGCATAGCCTTGATATACTATTCTTATTTAGTGAAGGGTGAATATTACTAGCATTTACAACTACAGAGATCTATAAAGTTTCTTCAAATATTCATTATAACATGAATGTAGAAATACTTATAATATACAATTAATTACGTACATTATTTCTTAACAATAGAGAAATTCTATTTGTCTATATATTTGTCTCTAAAGACCAGCTCAACACATGAAAGCTTTTTCAAGAACAATTGAAGTGAGTGAAATGCAGTAAAAACGAACGTGACACGCGTGTAACAGTTTAAAAGATAAAGGAGATACTTTTATATCATAAGTAATGCAATTATTAATTCAATAACTATTTATATTACGATTTAACTAAATTCATTTAAGTCATGACATTAACACACAACACCATCTAGTTCCATGGTAAGCTACGAGGCTTGTGTTATGGTTACCAGATAGTAGATACATATATGACTATAAATACATACATACTATAAATATAAACACCCATGACTGGAGTACAAACATTACTGTTCATCACATAAATGAATGCCCCCAGCGGGACTCAAACCCGCGACCGCTGGCGCAGCAAGTAGGGTCACTACAAACTGAGCCAAACGTGTCGTCAACTGTGGTGGTATTTTCTTTAAATTTTATTATGTGAAATAAAATGATCTTACGTAGATAGAATAATAATAATATGCCTAATCAGTTATCTGTTAGCAAACGAACACGCCTAATTTACATAAGCTGTTACCTAACATATCAACTAGGGTCAATGAACTATTTGATAAGGAATCAATAAACTCCGCTATCTATTGGTGTTACGTAAATAATGGATGTCTTCTGAACGGAGATATGGTATGTAGGATATTTAAAATAATAATTAAATATATGATTGTACTTTAGAATTATATAAAATTTATATTTGTAAATCTAGGTATACATATTTATATCTATAGCAATTTACGTAAGAAAGCTATTTAGCCAAAAAATCTATACTAATATTATAAAGAGGTAAAGTTTGTGAATTGTGAGTTTGTGACGTTGTAGGGGGTAATCTCTGTATCTACTGAACCGATTTAGATGAAATTTGGTAAAAAGAGTTTCAGACCCTGGGAAGGACTTTTTATCCTGGAAATCATCCCTTAAGGGGGTGTGTTACATCCGACCTGGGGTTTTACCAGAGTGATGAGTGGAAGCGTGAAATGTCTCCAGGTTCAAGGGGGACGAACATATGACTGCGATACACAGCGCTTATATATATCAAAAGAAAAGTACCTTGCGTTCTTCTCCTTCAATGATGCTGCCTTAGGTATAAATCTAATTACCATTAAACTACAATTGGCCAATCATAACGTCTAATGCTAACTGATTATACTCAACTGAAGGTGGCAGGATGAAGATGCTCCAGGATGCGCCTAGAAGGCCGACATACGGAGTAGGCACTCAAATACGCACAAGTTTACACTGAATTGTCAGTTCACTTTCATATAAGTACAAAATAAAGTCAATTGATTCTTATTTAACAAGTTTTACGTCGGCACGTGGGCGATGCAGTTATACACTCAACCCGGGCCCGTGCTCATCAAAATTACAATTATCAACATGTTATTTACACGTCTTATTCAACAATCCAATCTTAGATATGCCGCACACAAAACCATCACAAAAAAGGGGCAAAATTCCCGAGATGAATCAAACACGCGGCGTATATTTTCAAAAGGTCAAACGGCAAGGGCGACAGCCGGGGTCGCCGGCGCAAGATAGGCGAAGTGACAGTTGTCACTGTCAAGTCAAAATGATGTGACACAGACTCTTAGGGTTTTGCGTGCGCATACAATAGTTTGGTTCATAACATCTACCCGCCTCGGCCAGGACTACCTGGCCGCTAATTTACTGGCAGTCATGACAAGGTTGATACCGCTCTCTTCAGAACAGAACCGTCCACACGGACCTCAGCAAAACGGGGCACTCCATCTGCTCCAAAGACAAGGTTAAGAATGCGCCCTCTGCGCCAACACAGTGGCGGTGAGTTAGCGTCCTTAACCAGAACGAGGTCACCAACATGAGGTGGATCAGTCCTTCAGTCCACTTAACGCGCTGCTGGAGAATGTGCAAGTATTCTAAATTCCAACGCTTCCAAAAACTCTGAGTGAGTTGTTGGACCAATTCAAACCGCGAGAGACGATTGGGTTTCACATCAACAAAGGGGTTTCCGGCAGGGCGTTCAGTGGCTGTCCAATCAAAAAAAAATGGCCCGGTGCGAGGGCTTCCAAGACGTTAAGGTCTGAAGAGATCGGGCATAACGGGCGTGAATTCAAAACGGCTTCAATTAAGCAAAACACAGTTGCGAGTTCTTCAAATGTCAATACAGACTCACCAATTACTCGTCGCAAATGTGTCTTGGCAACCTTTACCACGCTTTCAAATATTCCTCCCCAGTGGGGACATGACGCGGGACTAAACTTCCAAGTTATTCTGCGACTAGCTAATCTAGACGCAATTTCAGTCTTGTTAGACTCCAAAAAATCACAAATCTTTTAAATAGTTGGTTGTGCCTTTAAAGTTGGTGCCGCAATCCGACCGAATCAAGGATGGTAATCCTCGTCGTGACACGAATCTATCTAACGTCGCAACAAAGGCCTCTGTAGAGAGGGCTGAGACGAGGTCCAAATGTACCGACTTGGTGGATAGACAGACAAAAACGCACAGGTAAGCCTTGACCGTTTTAGTAAGGCTGTGGTAATGCCGCTCGAGCTGGTCACCGGCGCCACTTGGTGGCGCCTGCGCAGATCGCAGTGAAGACAACGAAAAGCTGCTCTTAAGAATTCCGACTGAATTCTCGCAACCTGTAGACATTTTGACTTGTTTGTTCGGGAATTGGCTAATTGAATCAATTTATTTTTAAATCAACATTAGATTTCCCGTTAGTCTTTGTACTGTCTCGTCTATTTTGGTTCATCGGTCGGTGGTCACATGGTCGCCCATCCAAGAGCGCAGGCAAGTTGGAGATCCATTTACGCAACTCATATCCTGCGGAGGCTAGTATTCCAATCAACTCGTCACGCAAAAGGAGAGTCTCTCTCTCCGTGGACGCGCCAGTGCATATGTCATCAACATATAGGTCCTCCTTCAAAATGGCGGGTGCGCGAGGAAACGACATACGATCTCGATCCGCGAGCTCCCAAGCAAGCGTATGGCCAAATAGGGCTAGACCGTAGCCCGTATGTGTTCGTGTTGAGCTCGTAAACAAGCATGGGATCTTTCGGGTTTTCCCGCCACAATATCAACTGATATCGTCGATCATCAGGGTGAATTACCGTTTGCCTGAACATCGGCACCAAGCAACAAATCTACCGTGCCAGGTAGGTCAAGTTTAGGGTCAGCCAAATTCAACCAGCGGTCAATTTTACCGCATCCGCAGACAATCGAACTTGCGGGTGGCTGCCCAGGATATTCTCCATCACAATGGCGGACGATCCCAACGTCGGGCGTGGAGAATTTGAGGAGGGAGAATCAAACCAAATGCGGCCCTCAACCATGATCACAGGGGCGTTCCCGACACCTCTTATTACATCTGAATACCTTTTAATAATCTGGCCAGTCTGCCCTACCAACCAAGACGAGGCTATGCAACCTTGTAAGCCTGTGTCCAATATCGCTCGGAATACAACCGAGGCACCCGTCCGTCCCCAGACCCTGACATAGGCCGTGGGCAAGAGGACGGTCTCAAAGGGGGGCGGTGCATAGCGGGGGCAGACGTCAACATCCTAATGATTGCGTGGCGGAGATCGAATGCCGCTGTGCCGGAACGGCGCGTCAAAATGAGGGAAGGATTTGAATTCTGCTTCCTCTCGGTGACGACTGCCACGAGCCAGAATCGGTGGTTTATAGCCCCCGGAGCGTCCGTATCGAGGGTTGCGCGACTCCAAACGGGGACGCTCCACCAGAGGGGGGGATGGCCGTCGTACCGGACTTACATCACAGTAATCGTGGTACACGACCTGAGGTGACCTTGATTGGTCACGCGAGGGCAAGGGGGGCGAACGGGACTCAAAACTGCGGGATTGGTCCCGGCGTCCACTCACATACCCGCCCGTGGGGCTGCACGCCGAACCATGACGGCGGTCAACGGCAGCACAATCTGCGCGGCGAGGGGGGGTTGAGCCGGACTCACAACTGCAGGACTGGTCCCGGCGTCCGCTCACATACCCGCCCGTGGGGCTGCGCACCGAACCATGTCGGCGATCAACGGCAGCGCAATCTGCGCGGCGTGTGGAGGATGAGCCGGACTCAAAACTGCGGGACTGGTCCCGGCGTCCGCTCACATACCCGCCCGAAGGCGACCCCGCGTGGTCGCGGCGGCCATTCGCGTTGGCACACAGCAGTTTCAAGTGCTGCCCTCTGCAAACAGGACACGGGTGCGTGTCGGGGCAGGCGCGCTGATAATGGTCCCCTAAGCATGAGAAACACCAGCCTCGGGCCTGAGCAATCCGCCTACGAGCGGCCACGTGCAGCGCTACAAATTCCGGGCACTTCGCCGTTTTGTGCCCTTGGGACTTACAAAATCGGCAGTCCGGTCGTGCGGCCTGAGCAACAGCAAAGCGGGGAGTCGTTTTTCCCCTTGACGCAGTATGAGCAGTGCGCCGTTGGTTGGTGGGGCTGGGACTTGATGCTCCCACCGGTGTAGAGGTGACCATAACGTCACCCATGCGACACTCATCCTCCAGGAAGGTCAGGAGCTGTTCAAAGGTAGGGAGAGGAGAAGCCTCATCCCTAGCGTGCCCCTGTTCAAAACGTGCCCTCAGGGACACCGGCAACCGCTTAAGTACGATACGCACCAGTAAATAAGACCACTGGGCAACCGGCAGTCCCAAGCGGTGGAGAGAGTTAGTGGCTATTAGGAGGGGGTTGAGCAGCTCGGTCCTCAACTGGGCGGTATTGCTCACGACCGGAAGGTCCATAATCTGGTCGATATGGGCATCGGCCAGGCAGCGCTCATTGTGGTAGCGCTTGGTGAGCAATGATCGCGCGACTTCATAGCTCCCGTCACGTATGGGGAGGTGCTGCACTAAGCCCCTCGCCTCTCCATCAAGCACAGAGAGCAGATAGGCCAACTTTTGAGACGGGCCCAAATCGTCCCTGGAATCTACAAGGCTCTCGAACAACCCAATGAATCCCAGCCACGTGTCTAACCGACCATCAAAACGTGGAAGATCTAAATTGGGTAGCTTAGTCAAAAGGCCCACGGGAGTTTTCAAGGGAGCGCTGTGAGGCGATACTCCGGCGCGCGAGGCTAGAACCTCTCGCGCGCGTTGGGCGATGTCGTCGGCCAGGTTCATAATCTGGGTGTAGTCCTCATGGACTTGTTCCCGCCGATGCTCCGGGAATGACTCCAGAGGTACATCATCCAGATGTGAGATGAAGCGCTGATAACGCTCCTCCACCTCCTTAAGTCGTGTAGGGCATTTCTCATACCTGTCCAACAATGCCTCTGTACGATCCTCCCTATTCACCAATGCGGCAGCGGAGGTGAACCATCTCAGATGAGCCACAATCCCGGAATATGAGTCACGGACAATAGTGAATGCGGCGGCAGCCATCATCAAAAACACAAAGGACACAAGCAAACAAAACAAAATAATATTGTAATAACAACAAAAAGTTATAACTTTCAAATGAGACAATAGTGTTATCAATTTAAATAAATATCAAATCTCAAAAATATACCTAAATAAGAGTACAAAAAAAACATAAAACAAATCCTTGAGGCAAATGTTCAAACAAATTGTGATCTAAATTACTTATATTTATATTTATTTTAAGTATAGTTTATTTATATTTTTACCATAAAGTTATTATATTTTATAATAAACTGAGCAACAACAAGTACAACAAAAAAAAACAATACTAAACTTTTAAAGTTTAATTATTAATATACTGAACAATTTATAAAACTATGTTTAAAGTAACAAATTACTAAATTTACTTTAAGTAACCCAAATACTGCATATATGTATGAATCAAATTAAAGTATTTTATCAACAAGTTAACTTTAAAATCATTAATACAAACAATTATATAAGTTTAATAATAACTTTATGTTTGAGCTTTTACAATATTCACATACACATTTAAAGAGTATGAATTGTTTCATATAAAATGGAAATCTTAAGTAGTTCAGTAAAAATAACTTGTAATTAATTTTACACAAAGTAGCGAGCGTATACAATATACATTTAATATCTATAACCAAAACTACGCTCTGCTACCAAAAGATGTTACATCCGACCTGGGGTTTTACCAGAGTGATGAGTGGAAGCGTGAAATGTCTCCAGGTTCAAGGGGGACGAACATATGACTGCGATACACAGCGCTTATATATATCAAAAGAAAAGTACCTTGCGTTCTTCTCCTTCAATGATGCTGCCTTAGGTATAAATCTAATTACCATTAAACTACAATTGGCCAATCATAACGTCTAATGCTAACTGATTATACTCAACTGAAGGTGGCAGGATGAAGATGCTCCAGGATGCGCCTAGAAGGCCGACATACGGAGTAGGCACTCAAATACGCACAAGTTTACACTGAATTGTCAGTTCACTTTCATATAAGTACAAAATAAAGTCAATTGATTCTTATTTAACAAGTTTTACGTCGGCACGTGGGCGATGCAGTTATACACTCAAACCGGGCCCGTGCTCATCAAAATTACAATTATCAACATGTTATTTACACGTCTTATTCAACAATCCAATCTTAGATATGCCGCACACAAAACCATCACAAAAAAGGGGCAAAATTCCCGAGATGAATCAAACACGCGGCGTATATTTTCAAAAGGTCAAACGGCAAGGGCGACAGCCGGGGTCGCCGGCGCAAGATAGGCGAAGTGACAGTTGTCACTGTCAAGTCAAAATGATGTGACACAGACTCTTAGGGTTTTGCGTGCGCATACAATAGTTTGGTTCATAACAGGGTGAAAATGGGGATAAAAGTTTATATGGGGAATAAACCTAGCATAAAATATACGCTTTCGTTGTAATTTCAATAGATTAGAAATACTACTCACAAATTAAACTTTTGTTTAAAAATATTTACTTGTTTTGCTTTTTAATTATATAATTTTTAAAAACCAAGAGTGAACTCTTTAATGTATATATATATATATATATATATATATATATATATATATATATATATATATATATATATATATATATATTCATGTATTTATCTGATTAGAAATATCTCGATCATATCTCTCCGTATAATTATACGTCCAATTACAATTTGCACAAAGAATCGTCTATATTTTATCAAATCGTGGGTCAAGTTGATCTATAAATTTTCATTCAATTACCGCCCTTATGTCTAATGACACTAGATATATGGGTAATGCGTTATCGGATGTACGTAGGCGCCAGTAGGATCATTAAGATAAATTAAAACCAGATCACGTATTAGTCAGAAGCAATGCACATAATGTTTCATTTAGACAAGCCATGTTATAATGCAACAGGTACAAACTACAAATACTCGTATATATTATATTGTATGTATTATATATTTAGTAATACTACCAATATTACTAATTATTATATATAAATCATCGGTAAACCACTGGTAGCGTGATCGCTTTGGAAAGTGAGTGAAGTGGTTTCAAATCCGGATTTCGCACTTCTGGTACATATTTTCATGTGCGAATCATTGTCAAAATCATTACCACCTTACGGGAAAACATCGTGCATGTTTGAGAGAATCTATTAAGTTTTCGAAGGACATCTAAAGTCGGCCAACCCGAACTTGGCCAGCGTAGTGGACTATGGCTTAATTACCCTCACATTGAAGAGAGGCACGTGCCTAGCAAGTGGGATGATGATATAATTATATGGTTCCGCTTACTTATATTCTGTTTGCCTATATTATACAAATACATACAGTAGGTACATTACATTTTATTTTCTAAATCTGAAATAGGATTTGTAAGATATATGTACGAGTTCATCCCTATTTTCGCCCCCTTAAGGGATCATTTCCGGGATAAAAAGTATTCTGTCCTTCCCAGGGTCTCAAACTATCTTCTGACCAAATTTCATCTAAATTGGTTCAGTAGATCCAGAGATTACCCCCTACAACGTCACAAGCTTACAAACTTTACCTCTTTATAATATAATTAATATAGATTACATATTTTGATCTATCTGTTAATTGTGATAAAAGGGGTTCGCTACGTGCACATT